CCGTGAGATTGGTATTGATTCGAGATGTTCCGAATTGCAGACACTCGAAAAATAGTCAATTTCAGGTAAAAATAGTCTTTTTACCTAACATCTCCCCCAACAAAGTTCATTGGTAGCTTTTGGCCTTCGGGTTCACTTGGAAGGATCGTACAGGGCGTCGAACCCTACCAGGAAGACATTGCTGTTGACTGTGAATCAGGGAGCTGTCAACTTTGCAGACCGTTCCACACACACCCAGAGGTTTCCTGGCGTTGTCCCAGATGTGCTGCTACAACTTACGGGAGATTGCCGTGATGACAGCTCGTTTCATTTCGGGTGCACGTTGGGTTTAACGTCTTTGGTGGTTTCTGCTCAGGCCCACTTTGAGTTCGCGTTTCATTCCGAGTTGTGTTTCGAAAGGCTCACTGCGGGTCGGGATCGATCAGCGCGCTTAAAGAAGCCGGAGCGACTCAACGGGAGTCCTGTTATCGCGTGACAATGCGTTAAGCCACAGCTCGCTGAACCAGCAGACTGCAGAGCATTCTTGATGAGGGATCGGTGCTGATTAATGTTGCCATACTTCACACTCTATAGGATAGTGGAGCTCCATCGACCGGACGAGGGAGTTCAGAAACTATTCTAAACTCAACCGGAACCTGGGATTTTCGACTGTTTTCTCTTGATTGTTTTTCCTCACTTTTCTCTTGTTAGTGCCATCTTATAAGAGAAACATGCTTCATCGTAACATTCTCGAATGACTGAAATCTTAATGTTTAACGAGGCATGTTATATCATTCTTTTGAATGCACGTTGATTTGATAAACATTAAATTCCATACACTGTATTAGTTAATATTTGATTGTAGGAATTTCCGGTCTAACCCCGCTTTCCAAGTCATATGAAGTGTGGATTCACTGTAAATACTTTTATTTGCCGTTTGCAAGTCACGAGGTTATCAGTGATCAGCGAAGTTTGCCTCAATGTTTTACACTACGATAATGATGAACCCCTAACAAAATTTTTGAACAGAACACAATATAGTGAACAAGACTTATTTTCAGTGATTCGTCTTCTTTGGCTAGTACATCACAATTTATATAACTCGGTTAAACTGCGAGAGGGCGGAGATAGTACTTAGAAAAAATGACAGTTTCAGTTTGAACAACCATTAACCACGCATATTCGTGCGCCGGTTTTGGTTGCTGTCTTTTGGCTGCCCATTTGGATGAAGAATAGAAGAAGAAAGGAAAGTTGAAGGTGGAGTCGAAAGGAAAATGGAGAAGTTCAGTGGTCTAAGGTTGCATAGAGGTTGAGAAGATGCACGAACGCCTCTGGTTGCGACACCCAGCCATATCACTCAGTGTCTAACCATCGGTTACGATCATCCTGAGGTCCCCAGTCAGGGAGCCTAACAGGACCTATGTGACTTCGTTCCCTGGTCAGGGTTTTCATACCCTCGTGTCAGGTCTTAGCTTGGCCACCCTTGACTTTCTTCCACCCACTATTTGCCTCGGCGAACATCGCTCGCCGTGGCAACCTATTTGGTGACATACGTAACACATGCCCCAACCAACATAATCTATGGAGGTTGACCACTTGCTCCAGTGGGCGACTGCGGATATCCAAAACTCTGCGCCTAACCTCAGCGTTGTTCGTCCGGCTGCTCCACCAGATTTGTGCAATACTGCGTAGATAGCGGTGTTCAAACACCGACAATCTGTCTTTGTCCTGTTTACTGAATGGCCAAGTTTCTGCACCGTATAGCAGAAGTGGCTGAACTGCTGCAGCATACACTCCATCCTTCACAGACAACCGGATGTCGCGACGGCGCCACAGATGTCTCAAGTTGGCAAATGCCAACTATTCAAAATGATGAACCCTCAATCCAATCAAAAATATTACAGCCGCATTTGGGGACACTCTTACATCGCGATAAAGTCTGGTCCATTCCAGTTGAACTAAACTCAAGTTTGTACCAGTAATAATTTGTGATAGTCCAGTCAAGTTAAGCCTTATGAACCCCATAGGATGAATTTTCAGCGCTAGTCTTCGGTATGTAGTTAAATTCAGAGGTTTTGACTTGAATCCGATATGTTTCATCAGCTTTTCGATTACCGTTATTTGTTTCCTTTTGAGCGCAAAAAAAACGCAATAACAACCGTATTGTAGGCTTAAGTTATATACTTCATAGTTTTGTGACAAAAGTTTTTTTACGTAATCGATTAGCTTGATTGCCTGAGCTCTGTCATATTGAGACATTTGTTCCTCACAAAAAGTCAAATTGATGCGGTTAAAGAGTCGTGATCAGCGAAGTTCTCTCCACTGTATCTCGCTGTACGATGATAATGATGAGTTGTATATGGCCAATCGTTGCCTATTGCGGCTGTTGAGGAGTTTGGCGAAATATGCCTGTTTTTTTCAGATTGTGTCCTGTCAGTGCTTATACAGAAAAATTTTCACTTTTCGGAGTTTTTAAGCTTCTTTCTAAAAGGCGTTTGAATTTTCTTTTAATCGGTACACCGGTGACCTCGATTAAAACACTGCGCCACCACCATCCAGTCTGGAAAGCTACCATTAGAGATATCCAAGATGCTAATTTCTCTTCTAACAGGAGATAGTTGTAAAGAAATAAACAACCTGCACGTCACATAACTAACTATGCGTATTCTGATTCTTTAGAATTCAAACCACTCCAGTCATAACCTTGCCAGGTGTAACAAAACACACTTGAAGATTTAAGACTATGCGTATCTAACTATCCTAACCGTTTTCTTGAGATAACACCAGTTGTATTCTTTTGATTCTGACGTAACAGTCATGCTCATTTTTTCGTGGAAGAAAGCATGTCTTACTGATCGATTATTTTCGTGATAGGTATATTTCGCACCCAATCGACGCACTCCTTGGCGTCTATTAATGACCTAATCAACACACACACTGCTTGTTTAGTGTTTTTTTACTTGTTCTAGCCTCTCCAGTGACGGTTATCATGTTACCGTGCCCTATTCACTTGTTACTTTTGCACTGTTTATCGCCGATAAATATTGCAATTTCGTTTTTCTTTTGTATAGTCTGTGTGAAAAGTGTTGGTCCGGATGCCATATAGTTTATCGTGTCAATAACTGTACATTTTTACACATGCACTGAAAGCGAGTGGACTGTGTTGTTTTGGATCAAGAAAACAAGAATTTGTTGAATAGGAAAAGGCTCTGCGCATAGTAAACGATTGGCCACTGTATTGGAGCTACCTAAATGAACTCAATTAGGAACTAAGTAATGTTCGATGAGTGCACCTGTGAATAAACATCATCTTGCTCGATTTATATAGCTGTTTGTCAAAATGATTTGTGAAGCATGCCAGAGTGTCTCTGCGTGCGCCCCTGGTGTCACGATTTAACGAGTTTTCTCATTTCTATTACCCTGTAGTCCATGAGTCCGTTTCGTCAATTGGATATGATTTTCGATCTGTTGGGTTCACCGACTCCCGTGGATTTGGTCGATCTTGTCGGTTGTCCGTCATTGAGCATCGAATTTCTACTCAGTCGTCCTGTACGTCCTACCAATCACGCTGCTTTGGTCAACCTCGTGCGACCGGCCGGACGTCCTCCACTCCCGCCAAATTCGACCCCGTTCGATCAACCGGCGGATCCAGACCTGTTAGGTTTACTCTTGGGTCTGCTCAAATTCAGTCCGGTAAGTATCATCTAACAGAGTTACAGTGCCCATTTATTCTGACTCACCGTTTGCCGTCCATTTCTACAGTGATTCATCTGGCCTTCGACTCAATTTCAATCACCTCGTGAAGCCTATTAAAACTCTTGACACAGGAATTCATGGATACAGTTATAACTAAGGTGATGCACGAATTTGAAATAAGTTACTATGCTTAATAAGTCAACAAGTTTGTCACTTATCGGGTAGCGATATTCTTGTAAAGAAATTTTTGTTCTGATTATACAATGTTTTCCATTTTGGACAGTGGTCCAGAAATACTGCAGGTATAGTGTTGTAAATGGCAGCGAACTGATTGTGATCCCATCCTTATAGTTTCTTTGTAGATCAGGCTGTTTGGAGTGGTGTGTGTGTGTGTGCGTAGGCGCAGCTGTATTGTGTGCTGTGCAGGCTGGTCACACTGGCTCACTTCGATCTTATTTTTCTTAGTGTCAATGCTGCTAATCTACTTTACATACTTTTAATTTGTATACATTGCGCGCTTTGCAACGATCACTAAGATCCGTTTCTCTCCTTCCATGTGTTAGATAAAACCTGAATAATAAAATCCTTTTTAGAAGCAAATCATTGGTGTAGACGCTCCCACTTTGCCTCTGTCCTCTGTTCTACTGTAGATTGCTCACAGATGTGTGTGAGTTCATTGTTGTATATAGGCAAATAATTTAAAAGAAATTGCGCAGCATATCTGGTACTGCGATCCAGAAGTTACGTTCCTGGCGATCACTCGTTCATTAATTCCGTTTCGGATCTGTAAGCCATTTCCGTAGGTACGTGACGAGGGTTGGGTGCTTAAAAATTTGATGTCCTACTCAGGGTTTCGTGGTATGAAATCCACTTGACATAATCGTTCTGTCGTTTGAACCGAACTAAACCGTGTATTACTGTTGTTATGTTCCTAAATCTTCGTTTTTTAATTCTTTGCGTGCACAGTCGTGATAAATGTGTTTCTATACCTAATTTCTGCAGCAGTTGCACAGTAGATGGTATGCTACAGCCTCTCGAGTTTTTCCTCCACTCATTTGCCTTCCCCTAGCATTTCAAATCTGTTCTGCGTATCAAGCTTAAAGAGGTGGAACTCTGCGATTAAAAGAGTTTATTTCTAAAGGCTAATAACCGACACTGCATGTGTGTTTAAATATAAAACCTATTTGGTCGAATTGGGAACTGCTGGTTCATGCTAGTTGTTGCAACTTGACAGCATAGGGGCGAAGGAATCACATTCATACAGAATGGGCGGTGATGGTTTGGTCCAAAGCTAGTCAAACGCCGTGGGGCTTATGCGAAGTCACGTGAGTAGATGTGCAATCTCCACGCTTTGATGTTCATGCACGATGTGCGTTTTCATGATGAGAAGGAACTATGCCAAAGTATAATGTGTGACCATTGACCTCACCCCATCTTCATCCTCGATTCCAGGTAAACATGCGTGCACGTCCGGTTGAACGTGCTACAACACGTTCACAGTGCAGTGTGCTGTTGAAAAAAGTGACCCACGCTCAAAGAGGCTTCTGGGGTAAAGTGCTGTCAGCCTCTTCCAGAGGTTTTCATATATACATGCTTCTGAGTGGGCAGGGGGGATGTTAAATGGTCGACCAGAGAACTTGGATGGGGTAGGGGTGAATTATCACCGAACATCAAAGCATATCAGATGGACGGCTAGTATGTACTACCACCACATCTCATTGTAAACACTTCAGATCACGATGTGCGTTTCGTAAAATGTCTAGTGCTAAGGCTTCGCATACAAGACGAAAATCCCCATCCATTTGCTATGTTTTATTTGCACGTGGATGCGTGTGATGCTCCGAATCAATGTACACATAGTAGTTGCTACTTATCTGAGGCTTAACCTGTGATAGGGCCAGAGTGAAGAATCACGTGACCGCAACACCGCCGCGATACACACCGATTACTCGACTCGCTTTGCATGAATGTCAATATTATCCTGAACACCAACCGGTATCGTAATGGCCTTTTTTGGAATTAGAATAAATAATACTCACGGTCATTTGATACACGTTGGTGGTAAACACCTTTGCCGCCATGAATTGCACATTTGTCATTCTGAGTCATGATGCCATCCATTTTCTGGACATTCTTTATTCTTGATCACTTGCTCGAACATCATCTCTCTATTTTAATTAAAACAAATGTATAATTCCCCATTCCAAATCCTAGGGCTCAATTCACTGCTTTTCATTAAAAAAAACATTGAGTTGCTTTAATTATGGGACACATATTGGGCAGTTCGTGTCGCTACAGTTTGTAGTGAAAACTGTCAAACACGTTTACACCGAATCTGATTATCAGGCTTGACGTTTTTTTGACTAATCGAACCGGCTCGTTACACAGAATGGGACGCAAAATTGACAAATTTTTCAGAAATGCTTCAGAGAACAGAACCATTGGTTTTCAATTGTTTTCTGTGTAAAATTCTGTTTTTAGTTTTCTTCAAACTATTTCATGTTGTGTGTAACCTGAAAGGGGTCCGAGGTTTTACGCCTCGGGTACCTTCAATTTGGCTTGTCGAGCGTTTTTCGGTTTGAGACCACTGACGTACGCCTCAGTTTCTTAGAGCCGCGAGTGGAAGTTTGGTACATGTTAGAGACCAAAAAGATGGACGATGGCCTGTAGACTTTGCCAGTTCAGGTGTTAGTTCTATCAGGTGCCTCTTACATGTATGATTGGTTCGGTTGCGTTTTATGTTTACTGCTCGAGTGTGTTTCACGAAATCCGCATCGCGTTATACAGGCGGTGTATCACAGTTACTCAGATATGACGAGAAAGGGGTGCTTCTTGGGATTGTGCAATCGCTGCGCTTTTTGCACGCTCAGCCTGATAATTTTTTAAAGCTATGATTTGAGGCCCCCTTCTGTTTGAATCGTGATACTCATTGTGGTGAAACGGTGTTAGGTCATGTTTGGCCACGTTATTTAAAAAAATGGGAGGTACCAAGAGTGTATAAGTAGGATCAAACTATACGGACGGTATGGTACTTCGTCCTTTTGTTGTCAGTGACTCCTGAAGTTTCGACACGCTCACAGCTTGAACACACGGCTTTAAGCCGGAAGGCTGTAGCCGTCGCGACATCCGGCGGTCTGTGAAGGGCCGAGTGTATGCTGCAGCAGTTCGGACAGTGCTGCTCTACAGTGCAGTTTTAGGTAATTCGTTTGCTTTCTGGCGCAAACGGTCGATTCCCATGGATTGCATCGTTTGGGGCATGTATATGTCACCAAATAGATTACGACGGTGTACGATGTTTGCCGAGATGATGGGTAGAAAAAGTCAAGGTTGGTCAAACTAAGGTCAGTCATGAGGGTGCGAAACCCCTGATTAGGAGATTTGGTGACAGATCGCGTCGGGCTTCCTGAATGAATACCTCTGGATCAGCGTAACCGACGTTTAGAGACACTGAATGAGGGCCGCTGACGGTGGCTCGCACGCCCGAATTCTCTTTTTTAACCTTAACACGGCTTAGCATATTCCAATTTTCTCTGGAACGTTTCATCGAAATGGGCATACAAACGACCGCAATTGAAACGGTCGCACAAAGGTGCATGGTTAATGGTTGTAAAAACTGAAACTGAAAGATACCGGTTACAATGGCTTCTGAATTAACTCTGACAATGTTTCAGTTTGTACAACCATTAACCCATGCACTTTCGTACGCTGGTTTTGGTCGCTGTCTTTTGGCTGCCCACTTGGATGAAGGATAGGAGAAGACAGGAAAGTTGAAAGTAGAGTCGAACAGAAAATGGAAATTTTCAGTGGCTTAATGTTGCAAAAAAATCGGGAAGGTGTACGACCGCCACTGTTTACGAAGCACACTCCGTCAATGTAAATCGGTGATTTCCTTATAGAATCGATGGACCACACACGACTACCTTATTACTGCCACATGTTTATGATTTTGCATTATGTATTATTGGCTCCTAATCCTTATCTGATGGTATGATATTATGTGCATCCTCTGCAGTGTCAGAGCGCTGGGACGTTTTGCCACTGAACTATTGCCACTTTCGTTAGTCAGTTGTTTTAGTTACTTGCCGGTTTATGTTTTCGAAGCGACTCTGTTAATTATGTAATACGTCCTTTTAAAATGACATTCGCCTTCTACGCTTCAATTCTCTGGACAATCCTCTGGTATTTCTCTCACCACCTCTGTTCAATTCAGAACATTTACCACAATGTGAATAAAGACCATAGGGCTTGTGTGAAAGAGCACGCTCTTTACGAGTCACATGCTTGTGGCACCCTGACTCGCTGTCTCCGTTTATTATTGGGCGCACTTATTTCCCCAGGTGTGTGTCGCTTATCTACTGCACTTTGTGATTAGTTCGCTCAGTGTGGATGGTGAGCGGATCGTTGGTAACACATTAAGCTGCCGGAATGACTTGGCAATTTTAGTCACCGTGGTAAAAGTTGCGTTGTCTTTACGATTCCCGTGAATAACGGGCGACTGAATATTTTTCCCACACACTTCTGCGCGTTCCAGCACATACAACAACAATGTCCATGTTTTCCATACTACTACGAGTATCTGACCCCCAACTTGGGAGCAGGCATGGTGCCGATGGAACAAAAATGAAATATGATATCAGGAAAGTTGCTTACAAATAGGGGAAGGTTAAAAATATAATTGGTTTTTGTGTGGCGTCTTTTGGCTCTTGGTTCTTTATGTGGCAAAGGATTTCAGCTAAAAGACCACAGACCATTCACGCTGCTGATTTCTGTTATGAACCATCTGTGTGATTGGTTCCTGATTCATCAAAGGGTGTTTTTGCATTTCAATCGCTCTTGCACTCACTGTATAAAACCCAGCGTTGCACCGATATTTAATGTCACAGTTTTATTGGGTAGTGCATCGTTCTCTCCTGTCACTCACTGCTCAACCAGCTTGAATGAAAGGCAGTTTGACCTATCCGTGATTTACTTTCCTTCTGCAAGGATAAGTTGGCCTTATGCAATCATCCATGAAAAATCTTGGGAATGTATTATATAGTGGTATTCCTAACACCGCTGTACCTTTTTCTTCGAGGCTATGCCTTTAGCCCTTGTACGAGTACGTTCCACCTGTAGGTTGACAGGGTGGTAGCGATAACGTTATTTAGTTAGTATTATTTATCGTGTTCAATTCAAGTTGTGGATGTTCAAACTGAACTGAGCTTATCTCACCGTCAGGTGCTCGGTTCTCTATCCTTTTTCAGCTTCACTTGTTCTCCCAAATGTGTCTATCTCATCTGTCGTGCATGTCTCTTCCAACCGATGGTTCAATCGACCAGTCATTTGTACGAAGTATTTGTTGTCACACGCCATCCGACTAGCACACAGTCTTTAGAACGGCTGCCCTTTATCTCTGTTCTCCTTTCCGACTGCAGTCTTCAAGTCTTGGACAATCAGCAATGTTATTGTTTCTTCCATATACCCTTCTACTCTAGATCATGACCTTTGTGTTAAAAAAAGAGTGCAGAGGTTAAGCGTACTGCTATTAGTATTAATGGTTGAAGGTTAAACGAAGCATCCAACACTTAGAGACTTCTTTGGCTGGAATATGCGTCGCCCATGCCTCCAGGCAAGTTTTCCTGTCCATGCAACACCCATTTATAAGGCTGACAGTATATGTTATGACGTTGAGACAAAAGTCAAAACCGTCTAGTGGGGTCAAATTTTTTGGGTTAGCTCATCGATTTGAAGGGCAAGAGGCATGTGTACTGTTCGATTAGTAACTGCAACTGAAAGAAAGATCAATCGTCCTTGTATTCTTTTTTGTTCATTGTGTGTATAACTCATCCATCGTAATATCTTGAGCTATTTTTCTGTTTTCGATTGTTTCTTTTTTGACCATGAAAAATACCTCATGACACACAGGTGCCGGAGTAAATATTGCAGATTGAAAAGAATTGAATGGTCTTTCCTATCCGGAAGATTTTTTCAGTGCAAATCGAAGGAGAATCCGTTCCTTTGGGTTTAGAGGTAATGCAGATTGCTGCCACTTTCGCTGTTTGTTTATGGCTTACATCCAGAAACATAATGAAAGGTCAAATTCACTTGATTTGTTTCTGGTTAGGGTAATCCATCATTACCAAACCAAGTTATTACTTCATTCTACCCTCTTTCGCCATAGGCGTCACGTGCTTCTCTCTCTCTCGCTCAATCCAACTGGGGTGGTTTGTTTTTATCGAACATTCATCATAATGTTTTCGCATAGATAACAAAGAAAAACAACGATCTACTGTTCGTCATTAGGTCCGTGCTAAAACAATCGCTGGAAAATTTAAACGTGTTCAGCCCTCATATGTTTATGCGTGCCCATCAACAAAACAGGATAAAACTTGAACATAGCGCGAGCAACAATAATAACCAACCAACCGATTCTAATTCCTCGTTTCTTATTTATAACCAGGCCGCATGCGAAATTGGACCTATCAGTCGTATACATTGAATGCTGTTAGTCAATTGCTCCTAACTATACCAGGTATTGATATCGGTTGACGAAGTACGTAGTCAATGCTGTTAGAACACCTTAATAATTCGGTGCTCACTAAGCTGATATTCTCGGTTCCCATGAACAACTTGTAATCAGTCACGGCAGCATTTCGCTAATTGTCTCCTTTTTCTTGCATCTGGTCACAGTCCAAACGCGTCACAGCCGAAGATGCTTTGAAGTCCCCTTTCGTTGCCGCTGGAAGAGCTCGATTTCACAGTTGTATGTGCTCCTGTTGCCCACACACGCTTTGTTCGCCCGGAGGACCACCGGTCGCCTACACACCGACTACAACTAGGCCGTTTCTTTCGACAGCTGCTGGTCCAGTTTGGATGGACTTAATACCTGCATGTGGTGGTACCCTCGGTACCGGAGCTCTAAATTCCGCCAACACTTTATCCTCCTCGTCCCCGTGCACTCCACCCTCCCCGTACACTCCGCCCCATTTGGCCGGTCCAGTCGATCTGATGCTGGGGTTGCATCCGTTTGCCCTACGACCTGCAGGATTTTCTCCCCAAACGCTGACTATTCCACCTCCACTTCTCATCCCTTCACCCCAGATCGATTTAGAACCGGTCTATGTAGATGTGCGTGGAGCGCGGACGTTGAACACTGAAGTTCGGATGGACAATCTGGATGAGGCAAAACGTAAGTCAGAATCAGTGTGTGTATGCTCCGGTATTCTGTGCAATCTTTCATTTCTCGTCGTTCAAACTTCACGTAATTAGTCTGCCACACTGTGTTTAGGTAAAATTTAGCCGTCTGTCGGTGGACAATTGAAATCCTTAGAAATTGCATATTTGGACGTATGCGGCTAACAGAGCCCAAAGAACCTACTCCGTTTGATTTTCCTAATGAGAAGCCGCTCAAATATACAATTGCTGTATTCAGTCGTACATTGTTGTTTTTAATATGCGTTCAACAATGACTGTTCTTCTATACACATGCACCGGAACTCCGAGATCCAAAATCCTTACTGGAAAAGGGACAAAATGCTCTTTCAATTCATCCCACGTAATCAAATGAACCCAGACTGCATCTGAATCTCTTACGGTTCAGAACGAAACGGAGAGCGAACTGCTTGAAGGCTGATCCAAGAGGTACAGCAGACACAGGGGGTGTCGGGATATTTAAGGAAGATGGAAAAACTGTAGTCGTAAAAATGGATCACCGCATCAGGATCAACGGTTCCTTACCCCATAGCACAAATCCGGATTTCCGCCCTAAACAAATCATTCACATATTACTAGGTCTCCTGAAAACCACTCGCCGGCGTATATAAAACAAATGGATATCGGTAAGCCCTCATGCAGTTACTCCATTGGAAACTTCACCTCGATTGATGATGAACGTTTGTAAACTAATTGCAAAGCTCGGCGAACCACTCAACACCATATTGGGTAAACCCCATAAATACTAGGACCCACTGTTCATTCATGGGAACCGAGACATAGAGTGACGATCCAAATGAAGCGCACTAGGTTTTCGTAGTGATGTGCCGGACAACAGCGAGTGGCTAGAGCAAGTGGTCGGCCTCCATGGAATACACCGGTTGTGGCATGTTGCACATGTCATCATCATCGCCACGGTGTACGATATTTGTCGAGGTAGGTGATCGGTAGAAAAAGTCAAGGTCGGTTAAACTGAGATCACCGCATCAAAACTTTGTCGATGGGTTTCAGAATCTAAGGTTGTTTGTTTTAAGAAACTGATCATCTGAAGATTTGTAGTATTATTTTCTGGTGTCTCCTTGCCCGTACTCCTTTAACAGAGGAACTGTCTAATTTTGACTTGGTGTCTCTATCCTGCTCGAAGTTTTTGTCACCACGAACTTTGGTGGCGCATCATCTTGCTTGTTTGCGACTAAACAATTTTGACTAACCTTTGCACCCGGTTACTCGAACAAGTTCGAATCAATTGCTCCTAATATGCGTGCATCAATCTAGTGCTGACATCATTTAGGCGTAAATAAGTCTGTTGCGTCGATGAATCTGATAGTCGGGTATCTGAAGTCCCTCAGATCAATCTCATTCACTTTGATCACCGATGTTTTGCTGTATCTTCACGTGATCATCACCCTCGCGTGAATCAGTACATTAACTGTTGCGACCCTTTTGAGCAAGGATTCGATTTTCTCTGATGTTCAAACATGGTTGTTTTGATTGTCTCGTCCACGTGCGGCATAAACCCGCATATGAACACGTGACTTCAATGATATTCTCGGGGTCTTGTCCCTGACCCTAACCTCGGATGTGATATTCGATTAGTTGGATTGTTATCCTCGGCCCCCATGCAAATCAGAGTTCACTACCGATTACTGATTCGAGGTGTGGGTATATTTTCAGTGGTACCATATACATATCTGTGCGTTATAGGTAGACGTGTGTGTGTGTATGTGCGTCTCTCTCTCTCTCTCTCTTTGTGCGTGTGCTGAACGCTCGACGTCAATGATGACCTTGATTGTTGCGCGCCAGTCACCTTTTCAATTATGCACGTAAACCTTTTGTAAATGCGGATCGGCGTCACGGTGGGGCATAGAAAATATTCTTGCCCTAGATCACAATACACCAGTACGATGTCTCTGTTCATGTATCTGTGTTTGTGCTTTCTAAGTCTGAATAGTGACGCCATCTCCTGGGGTGTTTTGTCAATCGAACCCGAAAGATCCGCCTCGTTTTCTACTGTATCGTAGTTTGTATAATTTTCAAGCACTGCAGCTTAGATTTCAGTTAAAAAGGCCTACACGCTGACCGTCACAGGGACTTTTCATAATCCTAGATTAAGACAAACTTCACTTACTACCCTTTCTTTGTTGGTGAGTAAGCGTGCAAGATAGGGTATAGATGAATTTCGGTAAGCGTTTATTGGTGATGAAACTTGGCGGAATGGAAAGCGTGTAGAGGAATTGGAACCACGATGTGTCAGTTCTACGTGCGATTGGTGATCAAGATCAATTATAATCCTCCTCCTCTGAAAGCTTCACCGTTAACTCATTCACAAAAATAGAAGAAACGTGGCTAATAACAGTTACACCATGGCGTAAAACTTCTAAATCCTGTTTCAGTAGGCCAGGGAAAATAACTGGGGAACACTAACGATGGGAAAAGCGCACTGATACACAAAAGTGGAAATAACTGGTTGTGATGCGCGAAACTGCTTGAACTTTCGAATTTGACATGATGGGCATCGCAGTTTGCCAATGCAGTTGTGGATGTGGGTTGACCAACGAAGGTGGCTATCTAAATTTACATCAGTATATTTGATGGATTTCACCCTAGACAAACGATTATTATCACAATGAGGTCTTTCGGTTATGAAGCGCGTGCAAACTAAATAAACGTTCAACACATTTACTGGAGTTTACGCTTAGTCCCGACGGAGAGGAA